GATAGATAGATAGATAGATAGATAGATAGATAGATAGATAGATAGATAATCATCAATCAGTTCTGACCCTAAACAGTACTATCAGTTGTATCCTCAGCATATGATGTTCTTGAGCATTATGCCAGCCACTGCCCCCTGCCCTGGACTGTTTCTTCAGATCCTTGCAGTTGCAAGCTTGACATAAGAGAAGAAATGGCCACTTGTAGAGTGGCCTTTCTGTGTCATAGCAGGGCTGCCCATGGAAATCCTTATAGGGTCTCTTTAAAAACCAGATCTGCATTACCCAACCGGGTCAGATTGGGGTGATTTCAGCTGTTATTTGCTACTAGTGCTTTTTTTGCCAAGACAAAAAGATGGAAAATGGAATTCTCTTTCTGTTAATTGTCACACATACAAGCACGTTAAGCCCAGTATCTGACAGGTACACCACTTGGAAAGGCCCAGGTCTTCTGAGGCATATTAAAACTCCACTGATACAGCATTGTGATTGAAAGACTAAGACTTGATTTAGATTTACTCCATTTGTGTGCAGGGAGAAAATTCCTCCGGAGTTATAGAACTCCACTATAATTTTAACAGACTGCATTCTACATTTCTTTTGAACTATGCAGTTTCAGTTTGTTTTGATTTATGCATGGAAGAAATAATGGCTCTTTCCTGTGAAGCAGATTCCTAGATGATTGGTGTTTCCAGGCAGAGCTTTTATTTTGCAGAATCCTTACCTTGTTCAATGTAATGCAAAGAAGATCCAGATGTTGTCTTCCATTCCAAACCCTTGTTTTTTGTTTATCTTTTTAAAAGTATTTAGTCCTCTATTAAAAAAGGAAAATGGGATATGAATATAGTACCTTTGGAATGATAACAATAGAATCTCTTTAGAAGAAGGAAAGTTGGACAGATTTCCTTGAGTTGTAGTGGTGTTCTTTTCAATATAAAACAAGGTATACTGTAGCACAATAATGCCCTCACCTGCTGCTGTGTTGATTTTCTATGAATAAAGAATTCATGAAGGGAGATTCTAGCACATGTTTTCTAGTGATGCAGTTGAAGAAATCATGTTTTTTGCTGAAAGGTCTGGTGTAGCCCTTTGGCTGAAAAATTAAATGATTTTGTGATTATTTTTCCAAACTCTTGATTAATGAAATTCTTAGTCATTATACCTTAGTTGTTAACTGAGTTTGTAAAAAGAGTGCAAATTTTGTGAACTTTGTTTTCTAGGTGGAAAGTCATGAATACCTTGTCAAACCTTCTATTGATCCCAATCTTGCTGAATTGAGAGAAAGTATGAATAAGCTGGAAAAAAAAATGCAGGGTGTACTGAACGTTGCAGCCAAGGAACTAAGTATGTTGGAGGGTGAAAATTATTTTACCGAGAAGTACTTTTAAGTTTGTTGATTTTTTTTCTTTCTCCTTTCAAGTCACCATCAATATTGACTTACTTAAGACAGCTTCACAGGCTAAAATGCAGTGCTCCATGTCACCCTTCTGCAGCCTGGGGATTTCTGGGAGTTGTAACCCCAGAACATCTGGAGGCACCGGGTTAGATAAAGCTGCAGCATATTGCTCTTTTAATCCCTTCTTGGAAACTTATTAGGGTTTCTTCAATAAGAAAGTCAGATCAGCTTTCCCACTGCTACTAATATTTACTTTGAACTTCAGTCATTTTCTAGGTTCTGCTAGCACCCTGTTTTTATTCACTCTACACATTCAGGGTCTTCAGTGAATACATACCATTTTTATGCATATCTTCAGGAGTCCTTGATGTGGAAAAGACACTCTGAAGGAACAGTTCTGGAAAATTATTTCACTATTCAAGGATGCCCAGTCAATGGTGTTGTAGCTCTCCCCCCACCCCTTCCCAATTAGTTGCTTGTCATTTCATTTCTACTGAAAATGTTAAAAATGCAAAAGCTGTGGAGTCAGAGGCACCATACTTCGGAACTGCATTTCTCCTTAGGCTTTCTGTATATGTCAGTACATTGAGGAGGTCCACCTAATGCAACTTTGACCGCTAAATTGATATGCCATAATGGGAATGATTATATAAAGAATAAATAGGCTTAGAAAACGGCTATTGCTAACCCTACTATGTTTGTAATTTTGAAATGAAGGTAAGAGTATCCTGTTGACAGATTTATTATAATTTCCTTTGATAATGCTGTCCAAAGCAATTAAATACATGGTCTTATTTAAACACCTACATTTTATTTGTCTCAACAAGTGGCAGCATCTACTTGTCAGAGTTTGAAACTAAAGGAAATTGGCCCTAAGTTGTTACTTCTATGGGAAGTTGAAAAACATCCCAAAAGAAGCCAGTGAGAAATTACTTCTGTATACCCCCCCCCCTCAATTATCATTGTAGCCAGGCTCAGTTCTGGGTTAACTTTATTCTTACCTTAACTTTACCTTGCCTTTACTAAATTGGAATATAGATTGAGGTGGGCATTTATAACACCAAAACTCTCATGCTTCTTGATTGTAGACTGTGGTTTAAGGAGCGTTCCGAAACAAAATATTTAATAAGAGCCTGGTTCTTTTACCACTGTTTTAGGTAATGTGATGATGTTACAAATTAGATATACCTCTACTGTTGGGAGATCCATTAATGAAAATTTATTGGATGCTTTTTTCTGGCCAGCTTGGTGATAGGACTTTCTCCAAGTGCTATGATTGCTCAGTTGACTTTGCAGTAAGGGACCTGGTACAATGTTAAGCAGCAAAACCAAGGAAAAAAATTGATTGAGTGAAGATGATGGAGGTGTGATTTGTATGCTCTTATGGTGCATAATCAGTCATATATGCTATTTCTTCTTTCCTTCCTAAATGAAAAAAAAGGTTTGGAAGCTGGCAAGAGTATCAAATTAGAATGCAATGCACAGTTCGGACATTTTTTCAGAATTACGTACAGAGAAGAGAAGGTTTTGCGGAATAATGTGAAATATAAGATCTTGGAAACCCAGAAGAATGGGGTGAAATTCTATAACAGGTAATGTCAAAATCACAAGTCAGTTCTGTTCCTGCTTTTAGCCCTGAACAGTCTCTTTGAGTATGCTACTTGGAAAATGATTGGGAAAAACAGGGAAAACAGTGGAATATTACAAAGTCAAATGTTGCAAACATTTCTGACTTTTTTGTTTATGTCCAGTGCATTGAAAGATATTAATGAAGAGTATATGAAGAACAGAAAAGAATATGAAGAAATGCAAGATGCTGTAGTTAAAGAAATAATTAATGTTGCATCAGGTAAGACTACGTGCTTGCTTCTGAAATTGCCATGTATGTTAAGAGAATAAATAATTCAATAGAAAGGGCATTGAGCAGATCAGCCATGCATCCACATAGGAACCAGTAGAACTTCCAAAACATTTTGACTTGAAAGAACAAATAGGATATAATTATTATTTTGAAAAAAATTTAAAGTGCCATGGGAAGTATCAATTTCCTATGGGAAGTGCCGTGGGAAGTACATTTTTTTCTAAATTCTATCATGAGGATATATCGATAGGTTAATATCCATTCTCAATCAGAATTCCATCTGGTTCATCATTTGGTATAATAAATAATACCAGTTTTAAAGGCAAAAAATGGTGTTGAAGAAACAGAAAGCATATAGAAACTTCCCACAACTAATTTCTGCTAAAACAAATTGTCATTCTTACTTAGTCTTCATTCCCATCAAATTGTATCCACTCTCCTTTTAAACCGAAATGGATGGATGATAGATAGATAGATAGATAGACAGATAGATAGATAGATTTAAATTTGTTATGGGTGCTCACTCCACTAGACTGGTTGGCTTACCAAAATTTAATACATAATTAAAAGTGTTACAAACATAAAGCAATAGAAGACAGCCTGGTCTAAAAACAACCACAACAATAAAAAGTATATATATTTATTATAGTGTGATTTGTATAGCATAGCATAGCATAGCATAGCACAGCACAGCACAGCACAGCACAGCACATAGCATAGTAGATTATCTTGTTTCAAGAAAGGGAATGTAGGATCTCTGAATTTCTACCTCTTTTAAAGTCACATCTTTGGCAAAATGGGATTTTAGGTTTAACAGGAATTAACAGTTTGTGAGTTTTAAATACTAATTTTGCCATTTTAAAAACAAACTTGCATCATGCTTACACAGACGAATTTTGGCAAATACTCTTGGCTATCTGCACCGTTGCCCTGGTATAAACAATTGATAAACCAAAGTACCTTTTTTGATCACTTCTTGCAGGTAGAGCAGAAAAGCTTTTCCCTGGGTGGTAGGGAAGTGATGAATAGATAACATAAGCATGAGTAAGATTATGATCCAGGCAAATGGACTAGTTTGTAGCTTTCTGTTGCATAAGCTGTTCCAGTTTGCATGAGAGCTCATGACAAGTGGCTGCCTAAACATTTGGTACATAATGTTCCAAGCAATAAGCAATACTTTACATTCATTAGTCTACATATTAATTTCTGATTCTAGACATTGAATATATGTCAGAATAGACTTGTGGGGATTTAACAAAATAGATTCAATCCACAATCCACCTTCAATCCAAATGCTTTGAATAAAGCAAGATATTTTTATTCTTCATTTTTCCAATCCCTCTAAATGCGCTGGATAGTATAAACTTCTAGGGATTTTTCTTTCTCTAAAAAAGAGTTAAGGTTCATTTACACTGTCTTTAGCCTCTTTGCTTGCTGAATCTTGCATTCATTATAGAATGAAATAAAACATAATTAGATGCCATGAGGTCCATTTATCAATTTGTCTACTAAATTCTGGAAGCCTTCAAATAACTGTCTCTCTAATTTATTAATGTACAGATACTCCTTGATTTATGAATATTCATTCAGTGACTGTTCAAAATTATGATGGTGCTGAATGAATGGTGGTTGCAACTGTCCCAGCACCTCCATGGTAATGTGATTGCGATCTGTGTGCTTGGCAGCACATTCACACTTAGGACCTCTTGCTAAGCATCCTGCAATCACTTGATTACCATTTGCAACCTTCCCTGCTGGCTTTCCCAAAAAGTCACAAGTCACTCCCCTGCTCCTCTGTGCTGTTGCTGGCCACTTGTGCACCCCAGCATATACTCCCCAACCCACATGGCACCTCTCCCATACTTTTCCTAACCCACATGGCACCTGTCCTGCACTCCCCAATCCTCCCCCCTCTCCTGCAGCCTGACTTCCTCCCCCACCTGGTAGCGGTTACTTACCTGCCAGACAGCTTAGCAACTTCCTATCGGTTTCCCCACTGATTTTGGTTGTGGGAAGTTGGCAGGAAATTGCCTCTCCTAGTGACCGTGGGATTCAGTTAATGATGATAACTGGGACTGCAGGGATTGCCATTGCTTTCAGATGCAATTACACTTGATTAGTGCATTGCTGTGCCCTTTTGATTGCAAGTCCAGGACCATCTGCCATTAACAAGTGTAGCTGCTTATTTGCTGAATATAGATATTCAGAGCAGGTCCCGTTAAAAGGAAATAAAGAAATGATAGTTCCTTTAAAATCAAAGCACCTATTATAAAAATTATAGGTGGGATTTTTTTGGTCCTTTCTTGCCTACATTGCTGCATTCTGAATTAGATAGAACACACTCATTATTTAGCATATCGTACCAAATGCATTTTTTGCTTCAACGGTAATTATCCAAAGTGCGCTTAACATTAAAAAAATAGTTCTCAACATTTTTGAAAGCAAAGAAAGTAAAATGGAACAAAAATTGATTGTGTGTCATCAGCTCAGTCGATTCTTGGCAGATAGATAGATTCAGGTCCTCAACAACCAATTGCTTAGCAACTGTTTGAAGTTATGACAGATAACTCAAAAGGTATTTATGACCTAGTACAAAAGTTCCAACAACTCCCCCCCTCCCCAAGTCATATAACTGCATTTTGGCTGCTCAGCCACCAGCTTGCATTTATGGATGTTTGCAGCATCCATAATCACGCGACTATGATGTAAAACTTTTTCTCCCAAAACCTGGTGTTTACTTCTGATTTATGGCAGAAACAGGACATAACAAACAATAACTTCACTTAATGACCCTGGAGGTCACTTTAGAATCATGTTTTTTGCTTAATGACTACTGCAACAAAGTTAAAAACACTTTACAACTGTCATGATTTATGACCATAATGTACCAGGTCTTCACTTGTTGCTTAACAAGAATTGTCAGTTGAATCCCATTGGGAAGACCATTCCATTGTATTGATGTCTCCACACAGAGCCCAAGCTGCATGTTTTTATCTGAGAGGGAAGGTAGAAGAGACTCTTTCAAGATGCTCAGACTTGACATGTCACTGGAAGAAGTATGGTAGCCTTTCAGTTGTCTTGAGAACATGTTGTCTGCAACTTCCTCTTTGAGAAAATGAATTGAAATATTCTGTACTAGCTGCTGTTTATGAATATTCTCCAAAGACAACGCTAGGTAAACCAGTCTGAATTTTATATATAGAGGAAGTGATGACCGAATGAAGAACTTACCTAGAAAGAGATCTAAGCCCCCCAAAATACACATGGCATGGGAAACAGCTTCATTATTCCTTCACGTAGAAAGAAGATCCAGTTTTGTTTTAATTATAGTATGAGGAAGCTGGTAGCTTTTATAGGTCTATTTGCAAACCTGGTCTAGAACTTGTGTCATACATCTTATATTTCAGGAAATGGAAGTGTAGTGCCACCACTACCGTACTTTTCCCCCTTCTGCTGGCTTGTTAATCCTTTAATTTGCTATTCCTCAACAAACTCAATGTTACATTCAAACACACCCTTAGGCAATCCACTACCAGATATAACAACAAAACTTGCTGCTTCTGACATGCTGTTTTTCAGGCTCATTTAGGGCAGCATGAATTTGGCTAAAGTTTGTCAGACCCTTGAAACATCATACCGGTAGCTAGAAACTAAATATTGTAACTCAAGCACTGACTTTACTGAGGGATATGAGTCTAATGTAGAAATTATATCTCATCTTGATTCAAATCCAGCACTCCATTTTCCCCATAATTCCTTTTGTGTAATGGACTTTCTTTCTTCCAATTTTTATTCTGTTGTAAGTGTTGGGTTTGTCTGTTAGCATTCTTTATATTCTGCTCCGAGAATCTCTTACATTAATGGGCTTTTGATACTTATGATGGCATTGGTATATTAGACACTAAGTTGGAGGAGAAGAACTAATTGAGTCAGCTGGATTCAGCAGCCTAAATCCCATTGGTTGCTGGAACTTAACTTTGACTGAATTTGAATCTAATATCAAGGGATTTTAAAACTGAAACATATAACATCTCTCTAGCTATAAAAAAAAACCAATTTGATTCCTGATGATTTCATAAATGGAACAATGATGTGGAAGTAGCTTCCTGTTATATTCTGTTTTTCGCCTTTTTAGTTTAACCCACAGCCTTGATCTTTTTTGTTGATTTCCCATTCAACTTACTAAGTAGGACTAACTTTACTTGCTAAAGATCAGTCTATTTCCCACAATTACAAAATTACAATGAAATAAAAATCCAACTGTAAATGAAAAGAATATATTGGGTGAAATTCTATGTCAAATTGACCACAGTTGGTTAAAGAGAATGGTACTAAAATAACATTAGGAATTCCCTTTGGCTTTCTGCACAGTGAGAAAAATATCTGAACATGCTTTCTTTTCAATAGGGTACAGGGAACCCATTCAAATTCTCAATGATGTCATTGCCCAGCTAGATGCCATTGTCAGTTTTGCTCATGCATCAAATGCAGCACCAATACCATATGTGCGCCCAGTTATTCTAGAAAAAGGGCAAGGAAGAATTATCTTGAAAGCTTCCAGGCACCCTTGCATTGAAGTTCAAGATGATGTTGCCTTCATCCCAAATGATGTTACTTTTGAGAAGGACAAACAGATGTTCCACATCATTACTGGTAAGACTTCATTTTTATATCATGTTTGTGGTCTTTCCCGTCTGACCCTGTTTGAACTGCAATTTTTTATGTGGATGCTTTAAAAGGCTTGAAGCTTTGCCTTTAAACAGACAGAAAAAGGTGGCATAACAGTTGTTCCAAAAGAGTATTTTGTGTTTAGGTGTGCAGTCAATTTTAGATTCTAAAGGGAGGCATTTTCAAGTAAGCCTCATGCATCCAAATTTCACTTTTAAAGTGGGAATTGATGCACTGCTACTCTCCAAATAAGAGGGGATGATTTTTGTGATCTGCGAATAAAGCAATAAACTTGGAACAGCTGGGGTTGCCTGGGTGGGGGTTGGGCTTTCTGTGGAAAAAGTCTGGAGCAAACCCCCACCCTCGGTTTGTTTCCTGTTCTTTTTTGTTGTTGTTCCTCCTCATTTCCTCTTCCGGGAAGTCCCAAATAGAAGTAACCCTTCCCCCTTCCACCCCCAACTTGGTTGTAATCAGTGGTGTTTTTTTAATTCACTGTTTTCTATAGCAGTTCTTCAGATTGAATGACTCATACCTTGAAAATGATTGATCTGCAGCACTTTAATCTGTAAAATACCCTAGAGATTTTAGGTGAGGTCTGTGCAAGTGAGGGCACAGATGACCAGTTTGGCCTTTGAATGTTCTGTTCAATTCTCGTGTACCCCTGTGTATTTGAAACATCCATTCTCCTTTATTTTCCTGTAACAAAGCCAGACTTTTCCACTCTCCTGTAGAATGCTATCTCAACAAAATGCCTAAGTAATTTTATGGTGCTTTCATCTACCCCAAAGATTTAATTCCTTCCCTTATAAATAACCACACGGAAGTCTGAAGGATGCACTCTTGGTTATTTTACTCTTAGTTCTCTAGGCATTTCCCAGCCTCTCTTTTCCCATAGCATCTTTGGCGAAACAGTTTTTCTGTGATTTTATGGTTGCTAGGGAGAGCTTCACCCCCCCCCCCCCCCAAATTGGACATACCTACACTTTCCTATTATTTACAGACTAGGTAAATATATGATGATTTCTTTGCAACAGTGTGGAAATGATTTGCCGCTGCTGCCTTCTGAGACACTATTTTGGTTTTCCAGTCTAACCTACAGTAATTTCTTTTGTATTTGATTTCTTTTTAAAAAGAAACTGACCATTTCAAATTTTGACATTTCTTAAATGTAAGCTTATGTTTTTCTAGGTGGGAAGAGAGGATAACATTAGCCAAAGGCTAGTTTTGTTTCGTACTCATTAGTTTAATGGAGTTTGCACAAAATCCTGTATTTAAAAAGAACACCGACACCCCCCACCCTTTTGAATTCCATTTGTCACAGTTCTTCCAAGCAAGGCCATGGGCAAAAAACCTTTCACCTCTGGTTAGCCTTGGCAGAGCTATCTCCTTCCATTCATTAGTTGGTCATGAACCACAAGCAGCAAAGGCTTATAATAAGAGGAAGGGCGATCCCAAAGGCTTGGTTGCTTTCGTTGATTTGATTTGAAATGATTGCTTATTATACCCTATGACTATTATTAAGAGTTGTACCTTATGATTCTTGACTCTTGATGAATGTATCTTTTCTTTTATGTACACTGAGAGCATTTGCACCAAGATAAATTCCTTGCGTGTCCAATCACACTTGGCCAATAAAGAATTCTATTCTTTTGCTGGGAAAATAAGTCCTTTTGTTGCTCTTTGCATTTGGGTCATGAATGTGAGTCACCAGGAGAATCCTGCCATTGAAGCTTTGTTTATTCAGAAATGTTGCCTATTTTAAAATTCAGTTGTCTGCTAGACCCTTGTGCAAGAGCGAAAGACTCTTGGCCCTCAGGTGTTCCTGAGCTATAGCTCCCAGCATCCTTTATTGCTGCCCATACAGCTAGTGTTCTGATTGTGGGTGGAGGCATAGGCTTAACAGGAAATTATTACTGCAGATGATAGCAGATATTGACAACATTTGTCTGTAGAAACTGAAATAAGGGACATGCCTAAATTAGCAATAAATATTCTAGTTATATAGAATAAAAATTCTAGTTAAAGACTGTAAAAAACTGTAAATATGAAGTTGCTAAAGAAGGCTGTCCAGTTTACAGTTCTGAAATCCCGTGCAATTTTGTTTAACTTTTGGGGAATACTTGCTCTGCAGGGCCAAACATGGGAGGAAAATCTACTTATATACGGCAGACTGGGGTGATCGTTCTTATGGCCCAAGTAGGATGTTTTGTGCCATGTGACTCTGCAGAAGTGACTATTGTTGACTGCATTCTGGCTCGAGTTGGAGCTGGAGATAGTCAACTGAAAGGGGTATCCACCTTCATGGCAGAAATGCTGGAGACCTCCTCCATCCTTAGGTAAGTGCAGTGACAACTTTTGTTCAGCAGAAGTGTGAAAGGTAAAGACTGTTTCTCCAGGCTTACTGATCTGCCCCTTCTAAAGAACACACAGATGGTTGTAAGATCTATTCTGTCTTCACTTACCTGTTGCTAGAGCTACTTTTCATTCCCCCATTTTTTCTCCTAGCTACATTGCTTCATTGAAAAGTTCTGTTTCCTTCTGCTCTTGCTCCTAAAGAAATCAATAGCTTTTTTCTATTTTTCTATACCCACCCTCAGGGCTTTATTCTTTTCTATCTCAAATTAATTGCTTGCACAACTGATCGCTTGCACAAGAACTGCCCTTGTGCAAAAGGGCATTATATTGGGCCATGGAGTTTCAAGAGGAATCACAAAATCTTGAAAACCTCTATTTCAAACAGCCCAGTAAGCACAGAATACTGATATTTGGGTTGGGGTGAGGTATGGAGATTGTAGGAATTGAAAACAAGGGCTGCAGCATTCTGCAAACTAGATTTGCTTACAGATTTCCCTTGTCCTGAAAATGTCCTTTGAAGGTCTGCTTGTACAAACCCATCTGTAGGTTTAGATTAAGTGTATAGAGAAACTCTGCTTTCTATATAGAGATGAGAAGACATTCATCAGGTCACATTTTAGAACAAACTTAAAATGTGTATTTCCAAACTGGCATGACTTCAATGTAAATGACTACAATGTAAATTTCTTGTGCACACACGCACATACACACAGAGAGAGAGAGAGAGAGAGAGAGAATTTTGTTGTTGTTGTTGCGAAGTCATGTCCTACCCATTGCAACCCCATGTAAGCAAATGCAAATAAAAGTGCAAATATTAGTGGATATAACACACACAAATGTGTTACTGTTTCGAACTGTTCTACTTTAAAAGTAGAGTCTAATATCTTTGTTTTTTTCTTTTAGGACTGCAACCGAGCATTCTTTGATAATAATTGACGAGTTAGGGAGAGGAACATCAACATATGATGGATTTGGATTGGCCTGGGCAATTTCTGAATACATTGCCAGCAAAATGAAAGCTTTTGCTATGTTTGCTACTCATTTTCATGAATTGACTGCACTGGCTGATGAAATACCCACTGTAAATAACTTGCATGTTACGGCATTAACTACAAAGGAAACACTGACAATGTTGTACCGTGTGAAAAAAGGTGAGATGCATTACTCAACTGGGACAGAGAAAATCTGTTTTATTTTATTGTAGAATGAGTGACTGTTTCTTTGCAAAGTTGAAAAATTGTCTCAGATATTTCTCTTTATAGATTGTAAAATATATTTTCCTCTATTTCTACTTTCTTTGATTTTGTGAAAATATAGCTCTTGGGATCTGATCTAATAATATCTTTATAAGAAATGTCAGCTGAGTTGTTGAACTGGACTGATTTTAGCAGATTCAAATAATGAATAGTTGATGAGATCCAAGTAAACAGTTGTTAGAAATAGAGACTCGGGTATTAAAGGATAGTGATGCAGAAATGGCTTCATTGATTACAACTTTTAAAATATATACTTAAAATTGTGAACATATATTAGGAGAGTTAAAAACCTCGCATAGAAAATTAAAATGATCAATCTTCAATTTGTCCCATTTTAATATTCAAATTTTTTGTAAGGAAGGACTTAAATTTGTAACAGCTGATACAGTGCATATCAGCTTGAATATTTATATTGGAATCACCAATCAAGTAAATAATAATTTGAAAATTTGCATTTGTACAGGATTATAACAAAATAACAGAATTGGAAGAGACCTTGGAGGTCTTCTAATCCAACCTCCTGCTCAAAATATAATTTATCTTGGCTGTGTATGTACAGTATATGCATTTGTTATTTATAATTGTGACAACATTTTGAAATCATTCGATGATATTTCAATTAAAAATATATAATAAAATATGGGAAATTTATTAAAATGGTTAAAAATCAAATTGGAAATTATGTTGCACTTTATACATTGTACAAAAATAGAAACATTGTCAAATTTAATTTCTATCAATTTGGGATGCATTTTATTAAGTATAAGAAATCTGGGGGATGTAATCTTATCCAACTCATCAAAGGGTTGATTACAGGTAGTCCTCGACTTACAATCACAATTGAACCCAACAATTTCTGTTGCTAAGTGATAGTTGTTAAATGAGTTTTGCCCCATTTTATAGTCTTCCTTGCCACATTGTTAAGTGAATCACTGCATTTGTTAAGTTAATAACACAGTTGTTAAGTGAATCTGGTTTCCCCATTGACTTTGCTTGCCTGATGGTCACAAAAGTTGATCACATGACCTCTGGGACACTGCAACCATCATAAATATGAATCGGTTGCCAAACATCTAAATGATGATCACGTGACCAGGGGCTGCTGCAGTAGTCCTAAGTGTAAAGAATGTTGTAACTAAAATCCGCATGTGGTTGGAAAAAATGACAAAGAGACATATAGATTTGAAACCGGAGCTTTTCTTACTGGGAATCTTACCAGATGTTTATAGTAAAGATTTGAAATACTTGATTGTAAATGTATTGACTGCGGCTAGGATTGTTTTTGCAAAAAATTGGAAAAATGAGAAAATTCCATTGCAGGAGGAAGTTATTAAGAAAATATTGGAATGTGCTGAGATGAGTAAATTGACATTTGAAATTAGAGAGCAAGAAGATAAACAATTTTATACAATTTGGGACCTTTTCTATCAATGGCTGGATGATGAAATACAAAAATAGAATATTTAGAATGTTAGGTAATAAGGAATATTACTGATTTTTCTTCTCCCTTTTCTTTTGCTACTTGACATTACATTTATAAAATGTTTTTTTTCTTTTTTCTTAAGATAGAATAGGTATGATTATATGATTTGTTATAGAATAAATTACTTAAATCATAGTTATCTCATAAGGCATGATTGAATAAAAGTATAGTCAATTTTTTTTTCAATAATGATATGTGGATATATAAGTTTGAATTGATAATAAGAGTTATTATGTAATGTATTTGTAATTGTGACTATGAAATGAATGCACAAAACTGATGAACCAACCGACACACTGTTTGTATATAAGTATCGAAGAGAGCAGATGTTTTTATGTCTTTGTTTGTTTGTTAAAAAACCAATAAAATTGTTTTTTTTTTAAAAAAAGAATGTTGTAACTATAAATAGTCAGTAAACAAATGGTTGTTAAGTAGAGGATTACCTGTATTGTTGCTATTGACCTGAATACTTGTCAATATTTTGTTTTGGGTACATATTCTGTTCTTGTGTGGTCTGAAGTTATTAAGTTAACATTAAAATTAAAATGATTTCCTCATAATGCTTCTTCAGGGACCTGTGACCAGAGCTTTGGTATCCATGTAGCAGAATTAGCTGCCTTTCCCAAACATGTGATTGAGTGTGCCAAGGCCAAAGCTCTGGAACTGGAGGACTTCCAGAACATTGCAATATCTCAAGAGGAGGATGAAGAACCAGCTGCCAAAAGATGCTACAGGGAAAAGCAGGTTTGTTGGGTTTTACTGTTTATTTATTAAAATGTCTATATTCTGCTTTGCATAATTCTTTGGAAAATATTTGCTAAGTTCATATATATTAATCATAATGTCATTTTGGCTTATTGTGATGAGTTAACACAACCATTGAGACTTGACAACCGATGCATGCTTTTAAAATGAGCAGCCATACAAATCTTTTGAATAAAAAATATAGATCATATTTACAATCAATACTCTTGAGTTTTATAAAAAAAAATGCACTCCTGAGTTGAAAATAAACATAGATTATCATTGTGAATTAAAAATAGTTGGACCTAGAGAAGATGAAGAATACAAGAGGAACATTTTGAAACAGAGAACATTGCTAAATGGAGATCTGGCTTCTGGCTTTAGGTTTAAGATATTTTTGTGAGAGAAATTTTAGGGAATCAGCAGCAAGTCATTTCAAGCAGTCTTGTCAACTTGTATGCTATTTCTGGTGCTCATTCCTTATTGAAGAAAATATTAGTTTGCTTGTTTGTTTTGGCATAAGAGTGGCTTTGCAAGATCAAACTAAGGTGCATTTTAATCCAGCATTTTCTGTCTTACCATGGCCAGTCAGATGCTTCTGAGGTGTTTGTAAGCAGGAAAAGGCATCATCTCCTGTTGTACCCCTACAGTAGTAATTGGAGATAACAATCTTAAAAGTAGTTTTTGATAGACTTGTTCCATACAACTTTAAGTTCTTCCTTTAAAGCTAATGGCCATTACCTCAACTTGTGATAGAAAAATGATTGAGCCCCCTGATTATTTTGGTTGCTCTCTTTTGCACTTTTTTCATAGCCTTTTTTAGATGTGACACTGGAAATTCAGTTAAGATGGAAAAGCTCATGTCAGAACATGTTAACAATTAGATATGATCCAGCTATTGTTTCATTAAAGCTAACAAGTTATACTGAGTCATTGGTCTCCTGCTGTTAAGAACAAAGAACATTGGAGATTAGTTAACCAAGCTTTTGTATAAGGTTATAAAGATTGAAGTTGAGGTGATGGATACATTTGAGGATTGTCAAAGAATCACTTTGTAACTGATAAGAAAAACATATAGGCCATTCATAGGAATCAAGATATCTCCGTCTTTGGAAAGAGAGCACTTGTAATGCAGGGATGTATCAGTTAGTTACTATGGCATTGATCATATGCCTTCTTCAGCTATTACAGATATGAATAATATTTGAGCAATCTGGGCAAGTATGAGAGTGTATCTTTTCTCACTTTTTTGTCAGCTCAATTTGGATTTGGGTAAAAACAGTTCAATTTGTTTATATATTTTTATTTATGTTTATTTGCTTACTTTAGGCTTAACAGTTTTATCTCATTATTCTGCTTTGTTATTCTAGTCTGGCCAATGATGAAATAAAGGACGTATGTTTTTAAAGGTTAATGGTTTAATATTAAGTAATTGACAAATACATTTTTTTTTCTTTTTCAGGAGGGGGAACAAATAATTCAAGATTTCCTTTCTCAAGTGAAAGCAATGCCATTGACAGAAATGTCTGAAGAAGAAATCCGGATCAAACTAAAGGAGTTAAAGGACAACGTTTTGAGGAAAAATAATTCTTTTATAAATGGAATCATTTCCCACATCAATGGTACCTCATGATACATAACTAACTAAAACCACTTGAACTTGTGGTTTTTTTCTGATCATAATCTCTGAATCAACACCACAACTACTTTGTTTCCTCTCAGTCTCAAGCAATAGTAAAGAAGAAGCCTCGGGAATCATCATGTTCCACTTTCTCATCCACATACATAAAGCAAGTCAGAACAGTAGAGTTGGGAAATCTATAACAATGGTAAATAAACCTAGTTGGACTGCCCTGTAGTGGGCTGGAAAGCTCCAGAACTCACATAGGCATCTTCTGTGTTCTGTCAGTTGTACATTTTCTATGCCAGATCCAAAGTGCCTTTGACTGCTTTGGATCTAGATGCTACAGATTTCTTTACATTACTAAATATTATAACCATAAAGATATGCTTTTGCTGCTGTTTGTGTATATATATATATATGTGTTGTATCTTGTTGGGTTGTATTTTGCTGCAATCACTGAAGAATTCTTGTTTCAATCTTACTTTTGAAATATATATATATATATATATATATATATATATATATATATATATATA